GCAGCATGGCCGCTCCACCGCGCCGCGCGGGCCCGCCTTAAACGGGCCGCGGCCGGGCCGCAACGGGCCGCGCTGCGCCGGCGGCATCGCCGCTTTAAGGGGAGCGGGCCGGGAGCGCCGCGCGGGGACGGCGGGGACAAGGACAGCGGGGACCCGGACAGCGGGGACAAGGACAGCGGGGACAGCGGGGACCCGGACAGCGGGGACAGCGGGGACCCGGACAGCGGGGATAGCGGGGACCCGGACAGCGGGGACCCGGCTCCCGCCGCCGCCGAGCGACCGCCGCGCTGGCACCCGGGCCAGGCACTCCTGGGGAGGCAAAGCAAAACCACCGCGGGGAGGACAGGGCGCGGAGGAGCCGGGCGGGCTCCCCGCGCTGCTGTCGCACCACGGCCACCGCAGCAGGAGCCTGATCTGCCCCAGCTCCGAGTCACAGCAACAGGGGAGGTTTGCACAGACATCCGTTTAGTTAAAGGAAGCCTTACAAAAATAGTGTTTGAAAAAAGAAGCATAAAAGAAGGAGTTTTAGAGTAATGAAATGTTCGCTTTTCCGGCAGTTCTTCGCAAACAAAGTGAGGGGGGAAAAAAAAAAAGTGTTATCTGTTCCTTTCTTTGGGGAAAGGGCATTTTAGAAGACTGCTCCAAACAGCTAAAACAAAGTCAATGACGTTCCTTAAGGAAAAATAAACACCCCAGACTCCCCCATACAACTTCTGGACTTCATTCTGTTCAGTGATGAAGTGTGAATAATTCCAGGTCAATTCACAAAATTCAAACTCAAAATCAGTGACCACCACCAGCAACTTGATGTACCTCACTGGCAAAGCCACAGAGTTCTACAAAGCCTGAACTGCAGTGAGGGGCAGGTAGGACAGACCTCTCCTTCCCAGGGAAAGCTCATCTCTTCCCACATCCAGGAGAGCCCTGTTTTCCCTCCCAGCTCAAGGTGATTTATTCCCCTTTTCCCTGTCTGGCAGTAGTCCTGCCTGTGAGGAACACACGGTAAGATCTATTTAAACTTCCTCTGTTCAAGGCCCTGTGAGATAATGGGTCCCCAGGGCACCCCAGACTAACACCTCCCACCCTAAAGATCAGCTCTTTCAGCAGGTCAGGATTGTAAGAAACCAGAAGCAGAAACATCTCAAGGATGGAGCAGGTGTTACTTGGCCACACAAGCAAGGAAACACCAGTTAAGTATTGTCTCACTTCAAGAACAACAAAAATAAATCACCAAAAACTTCTGAGGAAGGAAGCCAAGGGAAACATGAGGAGATTCAAAAGCTGGTAAAAGGTTAAGACTTTCTTTTGTCCCCTCAGAAAGTCTGGTTTTGCTTTTATAGAAAGGAGAAAGTCTTGGAATAAAGAAATAGATGTCCCAAGACAATGAAAAGTACCACTCCTTTCAACAGCAGGACAGAAGTTCTACCACACAGGAAGGAAATAAGCAGGAATGTAAAACAGCCTTTTACGTATGGAACAGCCTGTCTGGATGTTTCAAAGTTGTTGCAAGCTCTCCCCACAGAACTCAGCAGGTCTGGCAGCCATAGTTGGGATAAAACTACAGGATTTTTCCTAGAGATCCTTTCCAGCAGCCAAATCTCTCACTGCATCCCTTTAAACCACTGCAAACTCCTTTCAGAAGCTGTCACTGCCACCCCCTGAAGCAAGGTGACGTAACAGGAGCCCTGGGACACCAGGAAGGGAGAAGACAGCACGACACCTGTGCTGCCACCTCCCCTGTGCCTTCCCCAGGGGGATGGGCACCCTCAGGCCCCAAGCCATGCTGAAAACGTGCAGAAGTTCATTCCCAACCAATGCTTCCATCCTGATTTGCCTGCTGCCTCCCCAGGTGACTTTAAGGAGACTTCCAGCTGCTCAGAGCAGGAACACTCATGGATGACCCTGTTGCCAGGGAGAAATTCCAGCACAAGGAAACCCTGCAGCTGCCAGGGGAACCCAGAATGAACAGCC